TCTATATTTCTGCGGAAGTCGTCTGAATTTTCTACGGAAACGCCGCACATTTATACAGAAACGCTCTGTTATTAAGGAAAACTACTTCAAGTACACAGAACGAATGTGATTTTCTACGGAACAAGCGTGTCCCTAACGTGCCACTGTACAAACGCGTACGATTAAACCGTGTCTAAGTCTTTTTACGTTAAAATCCTGACCGATTACTTCACAAATGTTCGCTGAATGATTCGTTAACTTTCCTGTATTTTTTTCTGCTGCAAACATTGAATTGGTCGCTTGTATACCGGGCAGTGACGTCATGAGGTAGCACCGCTGTGTGATCGCAGGTTCGTTGCCATGTAATCATGCATGGCGTGTCTTCGAAAAATGAAAAGTTTGGTACTTTTATTGCTTTACAGTATTTCTTGAGTTGGATTTAACGTGGAGATTTGGGACTTCATGACGAAGAATATTAGCATAATAATAAGGTTTAAGCCTAAGCTGTTCTGAACATAAATTTCCCCTTTAAGATGCTTTTTTTAACTGTTGTGTTTTATTCCCTTCTCTTTGCTTAGATCAATATTTAGTCTATAATAGAAATTCCGTTAGTTTATGCAACATGATTGAATAATTGATCGTTTTAAATTTTTGAATCGCGTTAATTTAACTTCTCAGCTAGATAACGTGTAAATAATTGAGCGTTAATGTAGTGCATCGTTAATATCGCATGTATTTTCCTATAATAATGTAATTAATAATAGCAATAATAAATTATGTCAGATGTGTCTACTGACCATCCACATACATCAACATAGAGTGGCAACTCCACCCATAGCAAAAGGTTATGTTTTTCAAATTTTCGATCATGGCTGTATTAATCAATTAATTGTAATTATTGTATATATTAGCGAATCAAATTTCGTGTTTTAACTATATAATTTATCCCACTTATATTATAATACTGTACTAATTCAACATGCTCACCTCAGATACACGTTGCCGGCGACGCTCACGTTGCAGAATTTCTTGTCTGCTTCCATCGTTCACCTGCCGGTTCTTCCTTCGCAACGTTGCGAAATGCACCGCCATTGCCCCTGTATCAATATGAATATAATTTACATAAAAATTGTGTATACAGGTTGTACCAATTAACACAAAGACAAGACCATTGAACTAGCTGTACACTGTCACTGTCTGCAACTGGTTCAGTGGTTTTGTCTTCGTTTTGAATTGGTGCTGTACAACTTGTAATACACCGTTCGTTACTCATGACGATAAAACGAGCTACCATGTGTATGAACCAGCGACCAATAAAACGTAGAGACGGGCCTCCCGTTTACTGTAAGCAGCGTGGAATGTATATTTGCACGAAGCGGTACCTTTTCCCGCAGTTCGCTGCATTTGTTGTACCGATGTTTCGCTGTAAGGCATCTAGGAGAAGATGGATTCGAAACTCTTCCTAAGGTAGTCGTCGATTTCTTGCCGCGTTTCTACAGTATCACCCATCAAATGCTGAATTTCGGTGTCTGTGTTCTTGTACGATTTTATGTACGCCTGAACATGTCCATGTACCTACACATTGTATGTAAATGTAATCTACAGATACATACAAACCATGTTCCATATTTTTTGGTTGTGTGAGACTGCTTACTGTATTGTTTAAACAAAGTGCGCAAGCCCTTTCATGCCAATTATAGGTAGTGTTTAGTTGAAAAGATATCGGTGTTAAATGAACTTGATAAGAATTCTATCGTTATTAGAAGCAAACAGTTGGCAATTAAGACCATCGTAATGATTATACATTTATTCTATTGTTCGTCTGTTGGTGCTTAACAATATTAATAAACACGTTTTCATTAGAATGAATACATTTTTGACACATGCTTATTTCTTGACGTTGAATACCTTTAACCGATAATGAATGATTATGCATATTCAAATTTTTGTATTGAATACGCGTTTCATGCAATTCGTTGTCAAATCCGTCCACATGCATATCTCTACGTTTTATTGGTCGCTGGTTCATACACATGGTAGCTCGTTTTATCTTTATGAGTAACAAACGGTGTAATATATGTAGTAACGTACGTAGCATTTTCTTTTGTGTGGAAGTTATTAGTTTTACTCTAGTGATCAGGAAACAAAGAAATACGCTACGCTTCGCTACGATTTAAGTGGAAAACCGGCTTTAAGCCAGTTTTCCACTTCAACCGTATCGTAACGTACCGTAGCATTTTCTTTTGTGTCGAAGTCATCATTTTCACTCTAGTACTCAGGAAACAAAGAAATACGCTTCGCTACGATACGATTGAAGTGAAGTGGACAATCTCGTTCCCTGAGCCTGCGATCCTCGGGATGGAACGCAAGGCTCTGGGATAATCCGTTGCTGGAAGCCAGGAATCCTGGCTAAGATTGAACTACGTATTCCATTTCAATGGCCAATCAGATTACTCCCTGAAACGGATTATCCCAGAGCCTCGCGTCCCTTCCCGGGGATCGCAGGCTCGGGGAACGAGATTGTGAAGTGGAAAACTGGCTTTAAGCCTATTTTCCACTTCAATCATGTTGTAACTTGTAACGTACCGTTGAGCTCAAGTCAACTTTCCCGGCCTACCGTCGATGTAACTGTGGCACTGGAGGCAATCGGCGAACAAATATTCACATAATTTACGTTTTAAAGCTACCACCGGCATCGTCGCAGGCACGTCGTAGGCATGCACGTCGCAGGCATATACAGTATGTGAACCGGGCTTAAAGTGGTTTTAGACTTGTAACAATCTCGTTCCCAGAGCAATGCCTGTTCGCGCGTCTGGAGAAATACAATTTTTCCTGTGCTGTGATTGGTTAAACGCTTATAGATTGTTTATTTCACAACAACCGAAACCCCAAGATTTAGGGGTTCCGGTCGTCTATTTCCCCAGAGACAATGCCATCCTAACCCGCAAACAGGCATACTCTGGGAACGAGATTGAACATTCCCACGTTATTTTGGCGAGAACACGATATTTGTTTTTATTTCTCAAAATACAATTTTTATATTGTCGGCAAATGCATCAGGAGTCTTAATTTCATTAATTCCTTACTTATTTATGACATAGATGTTTTTAGGCATAAAAAAGCGTAAAAAGCCTGTGAGCAGGCTAGGCTCAGCCCATCTCATATGTCAAACAGGCCTTAATTGACCCGCCTGCATAGAGCCGCCTGCATCCCACAAACGGGCATACTTTGATGCAAAACGAAGTATCAATAAATCGGAATAATTTGTAATGTGCCTCGTGCAGTATTTTTACTGACAACCCGACTGGAGAGAACGACGAAAAATTCGTTACATATTTTACTGACACTGGAGAGAACAACGAGGAATGTTGCCAAATTTCCATTTTGTGTTGTTTCAGTCCCTGGACGTGTGTTCATAATAAGTAAGTTTTGCTTTTTCTACAATGTAATTTGTTTGTAAAGTCTTTGCCCTCAACCGTGGTGTCTGACCTCATGTCATCGTTGTGTGTGTTTCATTATAATTTGCCTTTGTGGCTTGCCACGTTCATTTCATTTCTCCAAATTTATGTTGTTTATAATTTAATCACTTTAGTGTATGCTTGTATGTTCTTTTTATACATGTTTAGCTTTTTTGCGACCAAGTACCCGCAAGGACATGTGGTTGACACTATAAGCCTGAAATATTGCCTTATTGGACGTTTAATCCTTGGAATCAGTGGTGTAACTTTACTTTTTTGACCACTTGCCCAGTTGAACATGAAAATTAGTTGCCCTGAATAAAATTCACTTGCAAACAGACAATGGTCACTAGGGTACCTAGGTAGGGGGTATAAATTAAGGGGAAGACTTGTCGACCCGTTCTGTTATACTGCCTCAGATCTAGCTTTGGCCCACAAAAAAAATTGAATCAAGTACATGCACTATAAAAAAGTTGTCTTAAAGATGCCTAGCTTTTTGTGGCAAGGCAACTAGCCCAATCTGAGTAGTGTTGTGAAAAAAGTATTCAAAAAAAAAGTGGGGGTGTGGGAATTTTTTTTTAATATAAAATAGTATTACGAAAAAGTGCGTGGCCAGCAAAAAAAAGTGAAAAAGTGTCTCCCCGGACGGGGGGAGTTTTCGGCTCCCCATGACGTCCCAAGAAGGACGGTTGTGTCGCAATAATGCGGTTGCGCAACATTAAAGGAGGAGATGTGTCCCCAAAGCCGTGGTCGACCGAAGTGAGGACATTTGAATTTGGCGGTGATTTTATGGTCGGTGTCACGTGACGTGACGTACTTCCGGTGACATACTTCCGGTGCCCGTTTTTAGGGTGCGTGTGCGGGCAGCGTGGAAACATCTTGATAATAGGGTGTATTTAGGGAAATAACAGATTATGAGAGTTACCAAGGGTTACCATGGATCCGCAATCCAGTCTCCAGTCTGGACTCCATTACCCACAGTCCAGTCCTCAGTATGTAACTTGATTGACAGATGACAAAAAAAGACCGGATTCATAAACCTGGAGCCATAAAATTTTGGACTGGAGACTGGAGTATGGATCCGCAATTTTTTATCCTTCGCCCGTTTTTGGGTGGTGTGCGGGCCATGCTGTTAATAATCAACGGAAACGGTTAAAAATTGTTTTTTTTCCATTTATTTATTAAAAATTGTTTTTTCCATTTATTTATTACAAAGTGTTTTTATGTATTTTCCTTTTCTTAGTAAAAAGAATTACAGTGTATTTTGCACAGAGACTACAAAATTTGTGGTCCTCTTTGCAAAATACAATGCAACGCCAGCAAATGATTTTTCTTCAATTTATATTTTTATATTTTTGGTAAATTGCAAAGTGTGACATTTTCAAACACCACATCCCGTTAAATAAATCAACAGGCTGCAGTGTTTGAACATGTAACAGCTGCCATGACTTCTTTTCCTTTTCTTATACATTTTTAATGTGCAAACAAATACAGCACGCCGTGTTTTACAAGAAGAATTGACAAAATTTGATAATTCATCTTGCAAAATACAATGTCGCCATATTATAAAGCTATATTATTACGATAACCATTTTGCATTTCGTCAAGTTCTGCTAAACCATCAATCCACGCTTTTTCAAACCATTCGTTGTTTCCTGTAAATGTAAAATCTTCATCATCAAACCATTCGCAGTCGTCGTTGTATGCCAAGCAGCAAGCATCGCCTTCAAACAGCTGTTTTATTTCTAAAATAAATGTCGTCGATTGATGAAAAATGTCAATGTAATTGTGACGAGGAAAGTTTCGGATGCAAATATCTATGCGGTTGTAAATGTGTGTTTTGTAAGCTAATTGCCGACTTAGACGAGGATATAGAGCGGCAAAGAAAACAAGATTCTCGGCAAAAACGTTGTAAGCGTAACGAAAATACTTGTTACGAGTGTTTATGTAACGAACGTGAAGTTTGTGTGTGTACATAAAAAGGTCGATGAAATTGATTGGGAATATTTAGATAATTGGGAAAAAAAGCGGTTGGAAAATTTGAATATTGTACGCAAATCTAAAGCTTTTGAATTGTTTAAGCAAAGATCTTGTGGTGAAATAAATGTGTGGAAAAATTGGAATGAAATGGTCGAACCGTTGGAGAGGAATAAACTTGATATATCTCGTTTTTTATATACTGCTGCAAGTTGGGGTACTGATGGCGAAGACCCCTTATTGGACGATTTAATAAATTTTGTGTACGTGTCTACATAGTGTAATGTTTTTAATATTATTACGGAAAATTGGAAAAAAATTGTATTTGTTAAATAATGCTATAAAGTAATGTAGACCTGTAAACACGCATTCATAACGATGGGGCGTGCTGTTGCGGGTAGTGTTGCAAACGTAACTTCGTGTACAATACCGTGGGTAAAACGGGCTGAGGAAGGTGCAGCAATTCGACAAGTCGGTGGTAGTGTTGTGAGGCTAGAAAAAGGAGCGCGGGTGAAGTTAGTACCACAAAAAGGTCGTTGCTGTAACAAAAGAAAAAGACAAAAAAAGAAGAGAAAAAATCAAAGTGGTGGTAGTTTTTGGGATGATATTTCGCAGATTCCTAGAGTGTGGAAGGAGTCGGGAGCTGCGGAAGTGAGATGGAATCCTTATGCGAAGGGGACGAAGAAGAAATAAATATCTATAAATGTAAATAATTGTTATGTGAATAAATCGTTACCCACATTTTTGTTTTTTGTATTGTTATTTGCCACCCGCTAAAAAGCAGGGCGATTAAAAAATACGATGAGAAATATTCACAGCAAGAAGATTCGATTCCCTGTCGTTTTGACTTTGGTATTGCTATCCATGAAGTATTGCTACCCACATGTGACTTATATAGATGATGATAATTGAAAAACGGAAGTGGTAAAAAATGTATTGAATTACAATGCGCGTAATATCGGGAAGATTTAAAATATTTTACATGTTGTAAGGGTAATAACCAAATATGGGTGTGGAATTTCTATGCTGAATATCTATTTAAAAAATTGCTTTAAAAAGTTTGTCAGTTGATATGGCCGAAGTTAGCGAGAAAAAATTTTGGGGTGATATGGACGATAAATTGATGCGTACGTCAATTGAAGTATTTGCTTTAGAAGAAGTAAAAAATTTTAAATTGGAAAAACCCGAACATTGTTATTATTTTTATTTGCCGCCTGCTAAAAAGCAGGGCGATTGAAAAAATTGGTTTGATATATATACTAATATTTGATATTTTGCTGCGTCGAATTGTAAGCGCTACTTGTGCGTGTGTTTCGTTGCAGCCGGACTTATATAGAGAAAGATTGAAAACGGAAGTGGTAAAAAATGTATTGTATTACAAATTTACAATTTTTTTGCGTCAATAGTAATTTTTAGAATATCTTTTAATGCTTGGATTTGTTTATCGATGCCTTCTTTGGTTATTCCTTTTTCACAATCTTTTTCCAGTACTTCAGTTTTTTTGCGCAGGGCGATGATTTCGTTTTGTAGGCTTTTTACATGATGTAGTTTATCATCACATTTTTCAATACCATATGGTTGGGCGCCACAGATATCGCAGAAGCCATAATATTCCCCGTTTTTTTCGTCACCATAGACGGGAATAATTTTTACCAGCTGCCCGTTCAACCATGCGAGAATTGGATCAAACATTCCAGCCGGTTTAAGATGACATGTTGCATCAGCAAACATAATTGTGGGGATATCTGCAATAAGGGTAATAACCAAATATGGGCATGGAATGTTGATTTAAGAGATTCTGAAGAAATATTTCAAAATTTAATCTGGAAATCGTTCTTTAGAATTCTTAAAATTTTCCTTCTTGTGCTTGATAATTAAAAAACAAAAAAGTCGACTTTAATATCCATGTGTAAAAATCCACAAGGATATGAAAGCCAATTTTTTTATTTTTCTTTATTAGCACCGGTTTTAGAGCTGTAAAAAGCAAATTGGTTGTAATAAATCAAATTTGCATATTACAACCCTGAAGAAAGGGTGTTTTATCACAAAGGATTGTTATCACCATGTGGGGAAGCAACAACTTACTAAAAGCAGCATAAATATCCCAGTTGGTAGTCTTCTATTTTCGGATCCAGTAATGTTCTTTGATAACATAGGATGTGAATCGCTATTTTAAAGATAGATTTGTCGAGCAGGTATCCCTTTGACGCAAAATGTTTATAAATATTTTTTTTACATCAATAAATCGGCAACATGATGTTGATTGTTTTAACATTTTTACATATAGATAAAATTGCTTTATAAAAGCTTTCATTCGTGTTTCGTAGTGGTACGATGTGCCGTATAACCAACTGCCCCAATTTGTTGTGCGCCAGCGTAGGCGGATGTAATGCGTACATATTTTATTTTCTCCACGATGTATTGCGTTGAGATAAACTGTGAAATTTTCATCGCCATCCTTTGTTAGTTTTACAGTTTTATTGCAATAAAATATTGTATCTTCACATAAAATATACCCGTTCATGATGATGATATTTTACATACAATACCAACTACACTTCTAGTGCAATATAAACATTGCCCTGGAGATGAAGTTAGTACAGTTTATAAAAACCGTGCAACATTAAGGATGTGTGAAAATTTTAAGAAAATTGATGCCGAAATTACGGAGACCGGGTATGATTATTTTGACAATTGGGCAGATGTGCGCTACAATGTAACGACTCAGGAGGAGTTGGGAGATTTTATGTTAATGTATATTGTACAGAAAAAAATACATAAGAAAACGGAATTTTCCCCCTATTTAGCTGAGGATGAATGGGTTGAAAAAAGTAAACCGGTGGTTAATGAGTACGCGTATTTCTATGCTTTTGATATGCTAGACGATCTAAGCATTTTATACCGGTTTGAAAATTTACTTGATGATGTATACGGGAAGCGGAAACGTGAATATCTACAACCTGAAAAGCTGAAAATGCTGTACGAGTTATATGTAGATTATATTAGAAATGGTGCACGAGCTAATGAAAGAATTTACAAATTTGTTGATGAAATGTTGGAAGATGCAGAAAGTGAATAAAGGTAGGATTTATTTATTTGTATGCTGGTGCTTCTACGTGTAAGATGGCTAGAGTTTTTGAGAAGATTGTAAAAGATTGGTTATTTGCGCAGTTTTTGCATTCGGATCATGCGAAGTGGAAATTACAAACGCTTGTTACAAAATTAGTGGATCACGGTGTAATTCCGGATCATATTGACCAAGATTTAAGTTTGTACAAGTTGTTAATAATGCAACTTCAACGTTGTACAATGGAGTTGGTTTCAACACCAAGCGAAGGAGTTGTAATGCCGCAAATGATAAATTGTTCTACAGCCCCAGCATTGTTGTTTATCGAGTCTGAGCTTGCAAAACAAATTGAAGATTTAAGACACAAATTAGAACAGGATACAGGTGTAAATATTTATTATTATCACCATCTTAAAAGTGTTGCTGATAAACGACCCAAAAGATTACAACGTAAAAGACGTTCAATTACTTCATAGGAAAAAAGTTTGTAAGTGTTGTTTGAATTTTTTCCCCCGGCTTCTTATTTTTCTCTCTTTCTACCCATCGTGCGCCGACAGAAGCAATAATTTCTTCGGTATCAGGTGCTTCAGGGTCGTCAAATAGTTTACGTGTTGTTACATGTTCATATTGCCAACCGGCAGAACTATGGTACCCCGTAGCTATAAAGTAATCTTTACTTTCAGTTTGTGCTTTCGTGACTTTTTCTAGATGCATTTCTTCGGTTTTTTCCCGCAAATACCAATATATGTCCATACGACAGGCGCTGCAGAATCGATCGTTGAATTGCTCTTCATCATCACCAGCTTCACAGACACCAGCATCTTGGGCATGTTTGCAATGCAGTTGTTGACATTTGGACCCGTCTTTTAATATTGTTGTGCAATTTTTGTCATATAGCCGTGCAGCTGCTTCGTCATGATATTTAAAAGCCATTTTTTCCTTTGCTTGCACTTTGTTTGCGTGCGTAATTTATAAAAAAATAAGTTAAATTCCATCTCCATATACGGTTATGTTTATTACGGTTTCATTTTATAGCAACAATTTAATTGTGCGCAAATTTGAAATAACGTGGGATGAATGGGAAATAGCATGTATGTGCGTTTTGGGTAATCAAGATTATTCTGCTTGTTTTTTAGCAAATTATTGTCATCAGCAGTTTGTTGTGAAATTTTGGAAATATTTTATGGTGTCCAATACAGTTGAAATTACTGATTTTGAAAGTGTATTTATAACGGGTATGCATGTTGGAGGAATATTATTGGATTTTGAAAAGCCGCAACCACAATGTTCGACTGGGAACAAACGAAAGTTGTCACAGTAAATAAACCCAAAGCATGGTCCAATACGGGTACTGAAGAAGAGCAAAGAATGGTTTACAATATTGTGCGTGGGTATTTTTGCTGGCTTTATATATTAAAGGGTTTTGGCGACGATTGTGCAACCTGCACGTATGACCGGTGGTTGACACGTGTAGACGGGGTTTTTCAAAATAAACGTTTAATGATAGACGGTGCTTATGAAGAGCTTTTGAAGCGATATGGGTACAAAATGGTTTTTATGCCCAATGAAAATCCTTGTCAACCACCTGACTTGTATTATGATTTGGCGTTGAGTAAAGAAAGTTTTAAACATACAAACGTTTATGACATTTATAAGTTTTTAGATTTTGTATATGCGTTATGTGATACGTATAAAGTGTATAGCTTTGCATCGTAAATTTTTTATCCATATATGGTATGCGAATATATATATATATATATAGAGAGAGATATTTAGTATATAGTAGTAAAAAGACATGGTAGACATGGCTAGCGCACCAAAGCGAAGAAAGTGTGTAGATTTTAGTGATGAAGAACGGGTATTAATGGGAGAACAAGCTTGCAAGACGTTGCTAACAGAACAAAGATTGGCGTGTGCAGAATTAGCAGAAAAGTTACTGGAACAAGCCAAAATGGAGTATCAAGTCGCTAAAGTAAACGACGGATACACGCAAGGATCGCCAATGATTAACGTAAACGACGGATACGAGAATGGAGAATGTCATTACAAATATGCATATTTCCCCATTCGACCCTCCGATGATGGTCTGATTCGACCCACCGACGGTGCTATGAAGACGCAAAAAAAGGAATCACAAGAGATTGCAAACTATGCTTTATGTACTATCAGTTAGTAAAAAACATTGATCACAACAGTAAATACCATATTTCATTTGTCTAAAACAATAAAATAATTTAGTTTTTGGTTGTAATTGTTTGTCCTTGAATTTTTTTGCTCTTGCAAGACTAGCTGCTGAATTTATAGACCATGTTCCTGATGCGTTGGTCATTGGTACAGGTTGCATTTTTTGTGCTTCAGTTACATATTTCTTCTTATCCTTATTCCATATTATTGGTTGCGGTTTTTCTTTGGGGATAAGTTTTTCCCACAAAGAGGGTTGTTCACGAGATTCTTGCGGGTTTGGACCACACCAAGTAAATCTTTTGCTTGTATGTTGTTCGTGTAATGTTTGAATTGTGTCGCGGTAAATTTTGGCCGCACAATAACATTTTTCACATTTTTCTGGACATGGACATGCAAATTTTTCAGGACAATATTTGCATTTATTACTACTACTGCATCCATGAGCCATTTTTCTAAAAATGTAAAAATGTTCGTTTATTTATAATATTTAGAGGTGTGCCCCTGTTTTCCATATATGGTAGTGGTATGTAATATATATATATATATATATGAATACAATTACCTGCAAGAACACAAGTTACTAGCTTCCCAACAATTCGGTTTTCGCTCCAAACTGTCAACCACCATTGCTCTGGCACATTTTACTGAGCAGATACTGGATAATCTCGATCACAGAAAAATCACTGGTGCCGTCTCTATCGACCTAAGGAAAGCTTTTGATACCGTAGACCATACCATCTTATTGGAGAAACCGAAAACAATCGGTTTTACCTCGTCTGTTCTCGACTGGTTCTGCTCGTATCTATCAAACCGTACCCAAGTAACCGTGATCAACAGTTCAATGTCGCAACCCTAGCCAGTAACTGTCGGAGTCCCTCAGGGAAGTATTCTTGGACCACTTCTCTTCCTTATTCATACTAACGATCTACCTGGATGCAAGACCCATTGCAAGTCGATACCTTATGCCGATGATACACTCCTTTATTACTCTGCAGAAAGTATTTCCGATCTACAGTCAAAACTCAACTCCGACCTACGATCCCTTTCTGGTTATCTTAACAACAACCTCCTTACACTCAATCATGACAAGACAAAGTTCATCATTTTTGCCGGTAGACAACGCCTAAGATCCATCTCCAACATCAACATCTCTATTTGCAGTCGGACGATAAAACAAGATCAATCGTTGAAATATCTGGGCATCACAATTACCGAGAACCTTACCTGGTATGAACATATTGAGAAATTAATGGGGAAAATCAACCAAAGATTGGGATTGCTGTGCCGTGTGAAATCTTTCTTACCGCTGGATGCAAGACAGATTTTCTATACTTCGACAATACTACCGCTGTTTGACTATGCCGATGTAATTTGGGGCGATAAAAACAATTCAGCACTCATGAACTCCTTGCAAAGTTTGGAAAATAAAGCAGCTAAATTAATACTAGATCTCCCTCCTCTTTCGTCGGCAACCGAAGCTCTCGCTACATTACACTGGTCAACTCTCTCATCTCGCAGATATAAACATCGTTGTATCTTTATCTACAAATGCACTAACGGACTGATAGATTTCGACTTCAATCTCACAACTAACAGCAGAATCCATTCCCACAGTACAAGATCGTGTAACAACCTCCATCTCCCAAAAGTCAACACCAACTGGGGCAAACATAAACCAACCTACCTCGCTTCGAAAGACTTTAACAACTTGGACGTTTCCGTCAGAAACATTGATTCTTTGAGTCAATTTAAGTCTTTACTAAGGTCACATACCATACCATATAACTATTCTTAGCTGTACTTACTAGATATAGTTAATTATTCTTTTCTTTATGTCGTGACGTTGTATATTAATTGTATGTATTTATATAAGTAAATTTTGTTAATGATTGTATCATGCAGGACCCCACTGAAAAACACATTAGTGATGTGGGTATCCTGGATAAATATAATTATAAATAAATAAATAAATAAATATGTAATGTTGTTTCGAGTAAATAACATAAAAATATGAATTTTAGATTTTACATTGCTCTTCCCTTTAGTGTAAAAATTTATGTTATTTTGACGTCTGAAGAACTTGCTACACTAATTGATTGGTGTGTTATAAACGCTTTGTATGCTTTGTATCATTCTATTTGAAAATGGCCGAGATTGAATTTACCCCCATTTCATATTATCGGGCTATGAAAAAAAATACACCGCAACAGTATGCACAAAGATTGTGGTGGTGTTTTTCTACAGCGTCGGCTAAAATGGTTGATGAAACGTTGACGCTTGTGGAAGACGACGTGTTTAATAACTATGCAACAGTTATTGCTTATAATATAAAATATTCCGATAAGCAATTTGCAGATACTAAGTATGTTACGGCACTACAACGTTTTTATAAACCTATTTCTAAGATGCAAGTATACGATGATTTTATATGCCGACATTATCCTACAAAACGTCAGGGTATTGATATTTTTAAAATTTGGCATCCAAGTCAACGTGAAATTAGGCTAAGGGAAATAGACGATGACATTGAGGATAGCGAGCAGACGTTGGATGGTTTTGTGTCGCGTAACATGCTTTACGATTTGAAGGACGGTGAATACGAAATTTATTAATGGAACATCAATTTACAAGTGTTTTCAGCGGTTTATTACCGTGCAAGTGGATATCTTGTAAAAATTGGGACGGTGTTTCAACTATTGTGTGTGAATATATTCGGTGTGTTTGTGATGATATGTGTGCTGTTACATGTGAGATTTTGTCAATTCCACGTTATGTATGTGCCGATTTACGTTGCCAGTTTAGCATTGAAGCTAATAATGCTAATTTTGAGAAATATGTAGATGTTATGGATGCTTGTCAACCGTACCTAAAACTTAAGGATAGAAAGTTAACATGTGAATGTGGAACATCGTTAAAAGCAAGTTTGGAATTTGTGCCCGTTCTTAATGAACTACAGTTATTTTTTATATGTCGAAACGGTGTGTGTGATTTTAAACGTTCTATGCCCCAGTTAAAAAATTCAAGAATTCGCTGTGTTTGCGAAAAATTCTGTGAACGAGACGGTGAAATATACAAATGTCCTCGTGGTGAAAAGGGTTGCGGGACATATTTTCACGAATTAGATTCATTTACTTTTATACATACAATAATACAAAAAATTGATTTGGAGGATGACGCGTGGGCATATTTACCCATTAATGTTAAGCCATTAAAATGTGGTGCTTATGGAATTTTAAAGTATAATAGTGAACAGAAACGATTAAATTTAGTATGTAAAAATTTATTTTGTGATTGTAGTAGATGCTGTTATAGCACCAGAATTTAAAATAGAAGAATAAAAAATTATCTTGTTTTCCTTAAATAAGCTTGTTGTATTATTGCGTCTCTTGCAGCTTTACGCGCCAATTCATGTTCTCCGGCGACAATACCCCCTCTTTGACGTCGGGGGGGGTGGTCTTCTTCTTTTTGGTGGGGTCCAATAGTCGTCATCATCATAACGGGTTTGCCAACTTCTTCTTCTTCTTGGGGGGCCCCAATCATTATAGCGAGTTTGCCGACTTTTTCTTAGTTCTTCTTGAGCTTTTTCAAGTTGTTGTTGTTGTCTTTTGAGTTGTTTATTCATTCTAGCCATCATCTCTCTATCCCTACCGCCCCGACGTTTACTACCCCCACCCCCAAAACTTTTTGTAAGAAGGCTGAGACCTGAAAAAGGTAAAAAACCACCCATTTGTTGTTTTTTTTGCCACGTTGATGGCGGCGACCGCTAAAGTTCCCCCCTGACTGACTCGTCATCATTTCAAAATGAATGTGTTACTTTTAAAACATACCCTTTATAAACTAGAATCGGTTTTACCATTTTGGTGTGTGACTGAAGTTACAGAAGTTGGACCTGTCGGTATAAATATTGTGGTTAATGGTGGTCCTGGTGTATGCTATACCCTGACAGCGTTTGTTGATTATAAGTATGTGATATTAATACCACGATCAGAGTATTTGCTGCCAGATTATTTTATCCGCATATTGGAGAAAATACATTTTTCAGCATATTTAAATACTCAAACATTGCAAGTGGAATTATGTAAAAAAAGGTTTTACTGTGATTTAACAAGGCTGGAAACATTACAGAAATGGAGACGACGTTCCCTAGAGGCACATTTAAATTAGGAACATTTTGTTTTTACAAAGATACATGTGGTAAAGCTACAAAACAATTGGTTTGTATACGTGACTATGTGTCGTCTAACCAACGTATAAAATCTTTTACGATTAAAAATTTAAACACTCCGGGAACATTATTAAACCTTGAGGATTGCAATATTGATTTGGATGTTGTAAATAAAACAATTTCTTGTTGGTATTGGTCTAAGTATGCGACAGATTTTGAAAGTTTAGAGTATTTTTTACAAGTGTGCAAAATAGAAAACGATAAACGTGCTATTGCTATTAGAATGATTGCTTTATTTGGAACAATATATTCAGAGTATATTATTAAAGAACTATCTGCATTGTTGTATGGTAAATCATATGCTGTGGAATTATGGGACGATGGAATCATGCGATTGTCAACTCTAAAAATTGCATCTTAAATACAACATCTACGAATATTTTACACGGCGATACAATATACAAATGCCATAAATATATGGAAATAGTGGAGGACAGAAAAGGATGGACGTTTTTTTTACGAACCAAAGATAAAAGGCTACAATATGCAACTATACAAAGGACCAGAACACGACGAAAAAGAACAGTGATACTGCGTGTTACTAGATTAACTTTAGGTGATTTTGAAATGCGAAAATTGTTAGGACGAATGATATCGTACGGTAGAGAACAACGTCGTACAAAAGATATTGTAGAAACATTTTTAAAGGAAGGGTATTATATGGATAAAAGTATATATAAGTTTTTAAATATATGTCGTAGATTTAGAACGCGCGTATGTGCCGTCTTAGAAGGATATGTGTAAGATATGGAAAAGTTTATTGAAATGCAAAAAACGTGGTCTATGATACAATATGAAAAGGAATTAGAACGGTTGCACAAAAGAGCGGATGTGTTTTTATGTTATTATTGGATGGGGGATAATGTTTATTTTGAAAAACCTTTAATTCAAAGACAATTTGATGCAATTCTTGATGTTATAGAAAAACGATATTCGGCTGAAATAAATACGGTTATAACCGAGAAAACACTTGATTTAAACAACTTGTCAGGGTATAATAATCAATATCGTTATTTGCTTGTGTGTATTGATGTGGGGACACGTTATGCTTTTGTGAAACCGCTAAAAACAAAAACTGCCAAAAATGTTGCGGCTAAATTTGAAGAAATTATTCTTGAAAACGGTGCGCCTAAAAAAATACAAGCCGATGAGGGTACAGAATTTAATAATATTAAAAAAATCCTTGCCCCCAAATATAATTTTACACTATTTCACACGCAAAATCGTGACATAAAAGCCGCACATGCAGAAAGATTTATTGAAACTATCAAGGACATGATTCAGCGTACGCTGACTATGCAATCAAGCTATCGATTTATTAAATATCTTCGGATTATTGTTGAAAGATATAACGAGGCACCACATCGAGGAATTCACAATGTAACACCTGTTGACTTGTACAAAAATGAAAAAATGCCCGCATTTTTAAAGTTTAAAATTCTAAAAAATTACTTATCGGGTTCACAACCACCCACAAGTTTGTTACGTGCCGGTCAAACAGTATGTATTGCAAGAATCAAAAATAGTATTTTTGAAAAATCAAGCTTAAGACGTTGGGGTAGAGAAATCTTTATAATTGATAAAGTTTTTATTACCAATCCTGTGACGTACAGATTAAAGGATAAACAGAACGAAAAAATTACGGGCATATTTTATCGTGAAGAACTACAACCAATATGAATGTACAAGTTTTCAGTAATACAAAAAATCAGTTGGGTGATGTAAATTATAATAATAAATTTACGATGACATTACCGCAACAAATTGATGGTGAAAATAAAAAACGATTTATACGTGCTTTAAATGTGACATACCCTGTGATGATTGATAATGTGGAAGATAAATCTTGCGGCATTCGCTTTGCATATAAGCTTTCCTGGAATCCCGCAACACCGGCGTCGCAAACGCAAGTAGATTACATTACATTCGAAACAGAATGGATGTTTTTACCCCGTGGACACTATACATTAAAAAGGATGGTTAAAGAGTTAAATCGGTTTGTGGGCGAATATGGAATGACATTTTCATTACTTCCCGGCGGTCGCGTCGGCGTATCGCTGGGTATTACACCACACTACGTATACCGTTATCAAGATAACGATCATCTTTCACACAATAAATATACTGTAAAATCGGCCAATGATTTTTCTTTTGAAATGACCAAAGATTTAAAATATATGTTGGGTCTTGATGGCTATGTGTTACACCCTACAGTAGAAAATATATTCAAAGGGGGTAGATTTTCTTGGACAAGCCCCCAGCCGCCAACTGAGATGGAATCAATTTTATCCACTATTTTAGTTGCTAATTTTAATAATGAATCAATAAATCAATTGTGGTATTTTTTTACGGTAAATACGCTCCAGATATGACTAATGGGAAAACGCGTATGTTTATCTATTGTGACGAAGTTGTACCGTCCATTGTGGGCGATGTTCGGGGTCCATTATTAGCGCAATTACAAATTGTCCCCAATAATGAAATGGCGGTTGGCGGTTTGTACACACATAATTTATCGTCAATTACGTGAGAACTAATTAATACCCAAATTAAACATTTACATATAAGGATTTGTGATCTTGAAAATAATTTAATTCAATTTAACGGCGGTAGTGTGGGGGGAGTGTATAATTGATTGAATAATGGGGACAATGACAATAGGTTGTACAATCATTAACAATCAATTTATTCCTTATATCTATGAATTAACCGGGTTTGCTGAAACTACAACAGATGACGTATATTACAATGTTGCGGCAAAAAGATCAAATATGGGGAATTTTGATATGGGAAGTTTTTGGTGCGCCCGTGCATTACATTTTAACGGTATGGCAAGTGGGGCCACAAAGAATGTATCCGGACGTTGGTCAAAAGGAAAAATCACCAATTTCAAAAATAATAGTATTGCAATGAGTGCAAATGCATTACAAGCTATGGCATTTGATGATCATTTATTAACGCATATGCTCGGAAATGCACACACTAATATTGGGAATATAAACGGGACAAGACAAAAACTTCCTCAGTATCTACTTGTTAGCGACTTAGTGCAGTTAAAAGAAAACTTTTTTTTTCTTTAAACGACATTACTGGGAAAAATACTTTGTAAAATTAAAATGTAAAATGCAATTGTATAATACGTCGCAAATTCAATCACATGTTAGTAGAACATGCGGTTGCTGGTGCTTGTTATTTCTAAAATCTTATTATACTGGTACGCATATTATACGTAGTAATCTATTTACGCATAAAATTAACAATTTAATGCAGAATGAACAAACGTTGCAGCAAACATGTTATTCATTATTTCCTACCTTACAAAAATTATATACGAATAAATGTCTCAGTAGTAAGGGACAAATATGTAAATCATATAGTGAAATATATCAAATACAAAGTTAAAAAAATTTTATTTTTTTTCACAAATCATATACAACAGTTTGATCCTTGGGAAAAATTCCCGTTCTTACACGTGTATTCGCACATCCTTTTGGACAACCGTCAAACACAATATATCCATACTCCTTTTTACCTACATCTTCAATCACTTTATGTATTTTATTTTTACATATTTTTTTATTTGACGCTATCATTTCTACATCTCTAAAACAGGTCAGACTTTTACACATGATGTGATATTGACTGTTCACACGGCAATTTCGTAATTTTCCAGACCCATAATTTAAATTTTGGCATACAAAAATCACGGAGGCATTTGAATGGTGGCTGTCGCGTGACGCAATATTATTTAAATTAGTAAGATTTGTGCTGTTTGCACCCGCAACTATCATCAAATCATCTAGAACTATTAATGTAGTCTTGCCCAATTTTTCCTTAATGGCTTCCATTGACGGTATGCCCGCATTACAATCAATAAACTCAAACGATTTAAGTGTCGAGGTATGTTTGTTGTCACGAATGTGTCGTTTAATACCGTCATAGCCGTCCACAGAGTAAAGGTATATTAGTTTGTCAATTGGTGGATTGATTAGAGCTTCGTGGTGTTTTATTAGGTTTTCAATCAAATAGGTTTTTCCACTTTGAGAGGGTCCGCACAACGTCATCATAAACAGATGTTGAAATGGAATCGTGCAATGCGTCAAATTATGCCCCTATGAAAAAATAATTTATGCATCAATATACCCGTAAGGAACGGTCGTAAAATCATTACGAATAATACGTTTATCAAATGTAAATTGAAATTTTTTCTGAACTTGCTGAACATTTATTGTTTGATTATTTGACCGCGTAAATTCCGTATAAAATGTTGTGATTTTTTTTTTTCGATCGTGCACGCATTGTTGAATGCTATCAAAAGTAATTTTCTTTTTAGTATCGCCTTTTAACGAAAACCCCTTAACATAAACAATCTCATCACGTTTTTTATCACCATCCTCATTAATATATTCATTGGTTCGATACGAATATGATTTTGGACCAGTAGCACAGAACGTTTCTATCCATTTTTCACTTTTCGCTTTTTTATCATATAATTCATCCGTCAGTTGCCCCAAATAACTACCGGTTTTTAAAACGTGTCCTTTTTCAATATTTTCCACATATATCACAGAATCAGTATCGTAATACAAAACGTCCTCCCCCAATTTATGTAAAACTTTAAATAGTTCTAAACGTGCATACGCTGGTACAAATGCCGCTATAACTACATTTCTGTTTGGTAAAGTTACCAAGGACGAAACCTTTCGATGTGTTGTGCGTGCTATGTCGTCGCTTATAAAATCTAGTGATGTTACTTCAATACTTAAATCGTTAACCATTTCTAATAAGTCGTGAAAACGATCAACAAACGATACAATGGGTACATTTTCATTTTGTGCTAATTTACCCCATAATGAATTTAACAACGCTTTCATAACTGATCTTTGTCCGGGATTATATGAAATTTTACTGGCATCCAATTGCACACCCTCATGTCTAAAATATTCCTCTACATATTCGTTGACTTTTTTCTCGTCTACATTACCCTGAATATCATAGCAGTTTTTTGGCAACCCGCTGCTTTCCTGTTTTAATTTCATAAAAGTGTTGACATATGTATCAAAGATTTTCTCACGCTGCTTATAATTATATACTTCGTAAACTTCCTTTACCCTATAACCGTGTTTCAGCACCACTTGTATTTCTACACTTGTCCATGTGCCGTATAACACGCGTTCTTCCTTATTGTGTGTGCAAACATCGCATAAATTATCTGCACAAGTACGACATAGTGGAAATGTTAATTTAGTGGTCCGATAAGGAATAACAGGAAATAAAAGATTTTTAGGCGGAAGTATCTTACATTTAATCAATCCAAATACAAACCCCAAATTAAGTTTGCTACATTTTTCTACACCGCGCACAATTTCAGGATGTTTTACGGGAAATACATTAATTTTCTGAACATACGGATACAAAGACGTAAAATCATAATACCGTATTTTTGTTTTACACGCATTGGTACACATAACTGCTGGTGAAACCCGACCCCCAAATAGCGCATCTCGCGGATTAAGATTAGTATTAATAAAAAAATCTTTTTCTCATAACATTGCAATGGTTTTTTTAGTTAACTTATTTACGGCTAAAAAATCACATTCCCACATTTCAACAACTGTATACCCCTGACTTTCAAATTTATCCGTAATACGACGTGTTCGTTCGCGTAGTGTATAAAATGTTTCACAAACAACGTCGTTCAACATTTCGCCATTATAGCATTCTTTACACCCGTGAAAAAAACAACCGTGAAACTGATATATAGTTCTCGTTTCGGGACAATATCCATCAACATAATGACCGGCAATACTTTGCTCCCCGTCGGGGTGCAATTTACTGTACAATGTGATACCTCCTAAACCACTTTCAATCTTTCTTAGCCAATATAGGGCAATAACACTTTGCTTAATATTCCCACCATAACCCTGTGCGGGTATTTGCCCTATAGTTTCCTCATTTAAAAAATTTGTACGATATACTTTTAATGCAAGTCCCGCAATCGTATGACAAGTTTTATCATAAAATGGAAATACGTTTGTTATATTTTTAATTAATCGCACAAATATAATACAACCCTGTCTAAGTATATCAACATCCAAGCGGCAATAATAATACATGGCCTCTCTAAAAATATACGGTTTTTTCTTTTGTTGCTCGTACCAGGCATCGAAAACTTCGCGCTCTTCAGAACCCTCGGACGGGGGGTCAAAATATTCCAAACCAACCATGGGCCCCACACAATTCAAGTCATAAAAAAGATAAGGGTGAAAACCTTTACAAATATCGGGAATGCCTAATGCTTCTGGAAATTTTTTTAAACCCATATTTAAAAATAAAAAACTATCCAATACTTTTAGATTTCGATCTTCTAATTCCATACACATGATTTTATTTCCATTCATAATACATTGCGGCACAATTTTTCTTTCCGCTAGCAATTCGCGAAGTAGAAATACCATATCAAAGCGACCACCATTATGTGCAATCCACACACTGTTTTTGGGTTGCGCGTACATAAAATCAATAAATTGCTTAGTGATACAATCATTTTGTTTTTCTAAAATATATTGCCTGTAACCTCAACAGGGTACACATTCTACGGATATATCGCATGTTGCGTCTTCGGAATGGGGCAAAAAATGTTCATAATTTTTCACAAACGGTTTTTCATCACAAAATTGGCATACTTTTTGAATAACAGCATAAAAAGGAATCATATAGCCCTCATCATCTCTTCGTGTTTCAAAATCAAAAAAGTAAAGTGTTGGTAAATTAGGGTTTTTAGGCGCTTTACAAACTTTCATAAAACATTCGTGTGTTTTTTTTTTAACGGCGTTACAATGTTTGCAATACATCATATCACAATTCGTCCGGACATTTTGCACCGCCGCTGTAACAATTTAAACATGAAAAGGATGTACGACATACATGTGTGCGTAAACGTTCCCAATGTCTTAAGTAATTCATGCAATTAAAACAAAATTTTCCCGCACACGTTTTTAAAAATGTATTGGGCGAAAGTATCAAATCGTAATGACCGTCATTAAGCCATAAAAATATAGTTTTTAAATTTACGCAACAAATTGTATCGGTGCCACGCATACGCGAATCGTATACAATTTCATCATTATTATTTTTGGAAAATACAACTAAATCAATATTCTGCGCCGCTAAAAATCGCTCGTAAACACCGGGCAACTGATTAACACTAACACCCCCCGCATCTAATCCACATTGTTCGTAAATGTCGGTAATTTCGTCGTCTGTATAAAGGTCTTCGAGTGGTGTATTACGATTAAGGTTTAGTTTATCGTGTCGTTCGTCTTTATCGAGAAAAGAGCGTCCCGTCAATATTGCCAGGGCAAAACAACAATCCGATTTTGAAACCACTTGAAAAACACCGTTTCGAATTTCACGACCATGTTTTTGTACCAATTTTTTTCTACCGCGACCCACATCCGTACCATTTTTTCCTATCGATTTATAAACTTTTTTCTTTTTTGCCGATTTCTCTCTTGTCGTTCGCGGTATATAACTATTTGGAAATATATACAGGGAAACAGTCGTACTCCAGCCACCATCAATCACCTCCTGAGCATTACTTTGCATATGTTTTTCAAAAATATCAAAAAACATATCGGCATTAAAATCAGAAACATTTAAAATAGCCGTGGAAAAAGCCGTACGAGGTGCCTTAGAGATATAAAAACGTGCTTTATCAGTCGGGGAACTAGCTATATAATTCATTGTATTTATTAGATAATTAAATATCTCGTAAAGAGAATCATAAAATTCAGGAAGTGTTGTTATATTTCCCGCACCTATTCTAACATTATAAATATATTCATTATAACCCAAGCGACGATGTGTCCGTATTAGATCAACACGAAAAGCGTTTCGCGGTATTTGCGTATTTTCTTTATTTTTTTCCACAATATTTGCAATCTCCTGAAGGTCTCTATCTTCTATATTATAATTTCTTTTCCCGCGCGATGTCTTTGTTATTTGTCTCTGTAATCTATTTGCGCTAACCATTTTTGCAACATCCGCAATGTTTTTTGGCATAATTTCAATACGTGTTTTATTAACTCTTACCATATCTATTATTTCCTGCAGGTCCTCATTGTCTAACTTGTGACGTTTTTGTTTTCCGTTACTGTTGGCGTCTTCGGGATTCTTTCTTTTCGCCATAGTATACAACAGCACGCTGTATATTCACTATCAGAATTTTTGTCAGGATTTTCGCTCCCGTCTACACCGTCCTCACCCACGACCACGTCATTACTCCTATTTATAAAAACACACCGCACTTTAATAAGCGGACTATCACCGCCCGAAAACAACCGACTAAAAGCAGAACCCATTTCAACCTTCAGCCGTGCAGTACAGCAAAAATGGGGAGTAACGCTTTAACGCACATTACTATATACACTAAAAATGATTTTAGTACAAATAACACCGATAAATACATACCATCGTACGAAATTTCAGAAGATCCAGATGACCAAGTCATTGTTTCAGACCGTATTTTTCCCGAAGCATTTACAGATTGGGCCCGGGACGGTGGGCATATAGTCCAAGTACAACCTGGGGATATACGTACTCGCGTAGAAACACTTCGCAACGAACAATGTATAACGCCGTACGTCACGTCTAAAATGATAAAGATAGCGGAGTATATTGAAAAAAACATTGATAGATACGTGGGGGTAACAGTTATTTTTTAAAAAGATGTCAAAAAAGCAAAAATTTATTTTAAACTTTCTAAACAATATCTACGAAAAACCACGCGTCATAAAAGACGCTCAAAGTATTCGAAAATCACAACGTTGCATTGCTAACACTTTAAAAAATCAACAATGCCGTAAACATACCGCGCACACTGAAAAATGTTGGATTCATTTGGCCAAACAAAACAATTTACGTATTAAACCCTCCAGAATTATTGGCGGCGGAAAAGGACTATACACGTGGAAGAAAAAATTCCACGCGGTAATACTATCGGCAAATTTACGGGGCGCGTGACAACAAAAAAACAATTGGATCAACGTTACGGTGACAAAACCGCAAAATACGCTGTCTGCAATCGCCAAGGACAATGTATCGATTCAAACTATACTACTGACGGGGCGCCACGGTTTGCCAACGACGCTCGTAAAACACCGTTTCAAAATAACGCCCGAATAAAAGGGCGACAAATATTTCGCTTAAAAGCGAGTAAAACAATACCGGCAAATCAAGAAATTTTTACATCATATGGCACGCAATACTGGCAATAAATACCTAGTGATACATTAATAACGCTATCAGTTTCAACATGACACGAACAAAGCTACCCGACCTTAGCGCCACACCAAATCTTAAAAGAAGGGCTGGTATACGCGAAAAACAACTGCAAATGCGTCAAATGTTATCAAACCCCAAAGCTTTTCTACAGAGATTTGGAAAACGTTTTTTAGCCGAAAAAAAGAAAGCTGTAAAAAGAAAAGTGGTCAAATGAGTACAAGATACCGACCGTGCCTTGTTTGGAACACAACGCGGTGGTCGAATTCAACAAACAAACAGAAAACCACATAACAAAATACCGGTACAATATCAATGTCACCAATAATGTAAAAAAATTTAATAAAAATTACCTTTGTCTACGTCTGTGTGTGTGTCTTTTGATATGTCTGCGCACGATATTTTTCAAACGACGTTTCTTAAACCGATGCGTTTATATGAAAAAATCTTGCAGACAGTCATTTTTATTTATACATGATTTTAAAAGGGAAATCCGCCACACCCGTTATTTTGGAAAACTGCACGTTATTATCCATATATGGGCATGCTTAAATTTCGGTCTCTTGTAAATAAAGAGTAATAATGTGCGAACATTTTTTTTAATAAAAATTGATGGTTGAAGAAGTGTTTTTAAAACACTTTTACATTTTTAAATTTAGTCCTACGCCATAATAAAAAACTTGCTACGTTCAGCATCACGACCACCGTCCTAATGAACAAAATCACACCGTCCCTCATATTTTATCATAAGGAAGTCTACTCAATGCATCGGCATATTCACATATTTTATGACCACCTTTAAGAAACTCACACGGTGCATAATTTTTAGTTTCCATAAAATTGTTTACTAAATTCTTATACGGTACCAGGTCGTCTTCTAAAAAACGGTTTCTACCGCCCAATACAAAGTTTCCCTGCTCTTTTATTTCCGATTCAGAAAGCTCATGATGCTTGCAAAGTAACCATATTCGTACGTGGGGTAAAACCATAGGTAATTTCACATCTTGCAAATAACTTGTGTTAAATCCCGCCGCCGAAAGCTGATAATTTATTTTCCCACGTGGCACACGATCGGAAAACTGGACTATACGAACAATCTTGTTCAACAATTCTACGTTGTACTGTAAATATTTTAAATAAGTCATCCCCATTTCCAGCAATACATTATTGATATGTCCCCAATTCACAACATTATACAATGGTGATACAGACTCGAAATAATATGTACGAGACATTTTTTTAAAAAATTTATTTTTTCCTTTTACTTTTATTCATTTTACAACCTACATACCAATACCATATATAGTCATTAATTAAATTTCTCAAAAAATGGGTCAACAATTTCTTTACAAATACTATCACAAATATGTTTAATTTTTAACGGCGCTCTATAAGCATCTTTACGCATAACTGCAAAATCACCGTCCATAATATATGTGTAACAGGGTACTTGACCATCTTTAAGTGTGTCACCGTCAGTAGAATTCATAACCCCGGCTAAAGTATCATGCTTAACTAGCGTTGTACAAATCATTTCCACTAACTTATCTACATACACATTACAACAACTGCACACTAATAAATGTTTCATAATTAATTTTAAAGTTTTTCCCTTAATGTATTCGTCTCCAAACTTAAATAGGGGTTCATGTACGCCAAGCGCATAGATTACCTCTCGTGCTTTACCATAAGGGTGGGCCTGCCGTTGTGTGGCCTCGTACAACTGCTTAGCATTTATAAATACCCCACATCGGCAAGCACTTCGTGAACTTTTCCAGCACACGGTCCGACGCCAACATGAAAATAATCTTTAGAAACCACATATTCATCTTTAATGCTTACATGTTCGCGTCGTACAACCGTAACATCACCACGATACAAAATCTGTCGGCAACAAAACTTTTTTTTAGCCAAACACATGTACCAAGACTCATCTCTTACACGTATATACACATAGGGGATCCACTCTGCAGGAATAACATAAAATATTTTGTCCGTAGAGCTGTCTTCATCGTCAAAACCATAGCATGAGTTCGAGACTTGGGTATCAACACCCAACAGTGCATAGCTGGGGTGTTTTTCATCGAATAACATCACATCATGAATACCCGTTAAGCAACCCTTTAACCACACGAGCGACCGTTTCTCAACAACCCGCTTTTCCCCGTCCTTTTCCTCTACATCGTATATACCCACAAGACGATAATTCCGAATACAAATTTCTTTTACCCCTAAACTCTGAATTTCAATTTTCTTCTTCCCATACAAGTAACTGCATGTTGCATACAACGACCATAACACAGGATCATAGGGGTAATTTTCAAGTAAAAGACCCAACGCGCTAAGATTTAAGGGCACGTCGTAACAATTCATATTGCGTCCAGAAACTGTTCGAATAATTTCACTTCGTGTCGCGAACAATGATATTCACCCGTTATATGATAGGGGCAACATTCGTGTTTCACATTGTATTCTGTCAATAAACATTCATATTTTGGACACCCCAAAATTTCCATATTAATGCACGAAATACCCAATCTATTCAACAAATTACGTTCAATATTTCCACCCTTGTACCCCACCAAATCAGCATTTTCAAATATTTTACGCAACATGACCACTATTTCACTATATAAATAAAAATTATTATCAATACGCCGTCTTTTAATGGGTAGACCATGTATTACCCTTATTTGGTAGCGGATTGCGCGATCATTTTCGTCAAACAGCTTGACGTTTGGAATGTAAATTTGATACGTTGTAACAATATTTGTAGATCGACACAATACAGAAACTTCGCGTAGAAAATTTTTCTTACACCATGTATACGCCTCACAATCTATAATGTGTGTTATACGCCCCTTCAAAATATCGTGCTGATTTTGAACATTTCTTAACACATTTTCATTTATTTCAAAACAAACAAAATTTTCAAAACAAAATTTTCCCGCACACGTTTTTAAAAATGTATTGGGCGAAAGTATCAAATCGTAATGACCGTCATTAAGCCATAAAAATATAGTTTTTAAATTTACGCAACAAATTGTATCGGTGCCACGCATACGCGAATCGTATACAATTTCATCATTATTATTTTTGGAAAATACAACTAAATCAATATTCTGCGCCGCTAAAAATCGCTCGTAAACACCGGGCAACTGATTAACACTAACACCCCCCGCATCTAATCCACATTGTTCGTAAATGTCGGTAATTTCGTCGTCTGTATAAAGGTCTTCGAGTGGTGTATTACGATTAAGGTTTAGTTTATCGTGTCGTTCGTCTTTATCGAGAAAAGAGCGTCCCGTCAATATTGCCAGGGCAAAACAACAATCCGATTTTGAAACCACTTGAAAAACACCGTTTCGAATTTCACGACCATGTTTTTGTACCAATTTTTTTCTACCGCGACCCACATCCGTACCATTTTTTCCTATCGATTTATAAACTTTTTTCTTTTTTGCCGATTTCTCTCTTGTCGTTCGCGGTATATAACTATTTGGAAATATATACAGGGAAACAGTCGTACTCCAGCCACCATCAATCACCTCCTGAGCATTACTTTGCATATGTTTTTCAAAAATATCAAAAAACATATCGGCATTAAAATCAGAAACATTTAAAATAGCCGTGGAAAAAGCCGTACGAGGTGCCTTAGAGATATAAAAACGTGCTTTATCAGTCGGGGAACTAGCTATATAATTCATTGTATTTATTAGATAATTAAATATCTCGTAAAGAGAATCATAAAATTCAGGAAGTGTTGTTATATTTCCCGCACCTATTCTAACATTATAAATATATTCATTATAACCCAAGCGACGATGTGTCCGTATTAGATCAACACGAAAAGCGTTTCGCGGTATTTGCGTATTTTCTTTATTTTTTTCCACAATATTTGCAATCTCCTGAAGGTCTCTATCTTCTATATTATAATTTCTTTTCCCGCGCGATGTCTTTGTTATTTGTCTCTGTAATCTATTTGCGCTAACCATTTTTGCAACATCCGCAATGTTTTTTGGCATAATTTCAATACGTGTTTTATTAACTCTTACCATATCTATTATTTCCTGCAGGTCCTCATTGTCTAACTTGTGACGTTTTTGTTTTCCGTTACTGTTGGCGTCTTCGGGATTCTTTCTTTTCGCCATAGTATACAACAGCACGCTGTATATTCACTATCAGAATTTTTGTCAGGATTTTCGCTCCCGTCTACACCGTCCTCACCCACGACCACGTCATTACTCCTATTTATAAAAACACACCGCACTTTAATAAGCGGACTATCACCGCCCGAAAACAACCGACTAAAAGCAGAACCCATTTCAACCTTCAGCCGTGCAGTACAGCAAAAATGGGGAGTAACGCTTTAACGCACATTACTATATACACTAAAAATGATTTTAGTACAAATAACACCGATAAATACATACCATCGTACGAAATTTCAGAAGATCCAGATGACCAAGTCATTGTTTCAGACCGTATTTTTCCCGAAGCATTTACAGATTGGGCCCGGGACGGTGGGCATATAGTCCAAGTACAACCTGGGGATATACGTACTCGCGTAGAAACACTTCGCAACGAACAATGTATAACGCCGTACGTCACGTCTAAAATGATAAAGATAGCGGAGTATATTGAAAAAAACATTGATAGATACGTGGGGGTAACAGTTATTTTTTAAAAAGATGTCAAAAAAGCAAAAATTTATTTTAAACTTTCTAAACAATATCTACGAAAAACCACGCGTCATAAAAGACGCTCAAAGTATTCGAAAATCACAACGTTGCATTGCTAACACTTTAAAAAATCAACAATGCCGTAAACATACCGCGCACACTGAAAAATGTTGGATTCATTTGGCCAAACAAAACAATTTACGTATTAAACCCTCCAGAATTATTGGCGGCGGAAAAGGACTATACACGTGGAAGAAAAAATTCCACGCGGTAATACTATCGGCAAATTTACGGGGCGCGTGACAACAAAAAAACAATTGGATCAACGTTACGGTGACAAAACCGCAAAATACGCTGTCTGCAATCGCCAAGGACAATGTATCGATTCAAACTATACTACTGACGGGGCGCCACGGTTTGCCAACGACGCTCGTAAAACACCGTTTCAAAATAACGCCCGAATAAAAGGGCGACAAATATTTCGCTTAAAAGCGAGTAAAACAATACCGGCAAATCAAGAAATTTTTACATCATATGGCACGCAATACTGGCAATAAATACCTAGTGATACATTAATAACGCTATCAGTTTCAACATGACACGAACAAAGCTACCCGACCTTAGCGCCACACTAAATCTTAAAAGAAGGGCTGGTATACGCGAAAAACAACTGCAAATGCGTCAAATGTTATCAAACCCCAAAGCTTTTCTACAGAGATTTGGAAAACGTTTTTTAGCCGAAAAAAAGAAAGCCGTAAAAAGAAAAGTGGTCAAATGAGTACAAGATACCGACCGTGCCTTGTTTGGAACACAACGCGGTGGTCGAATTCAACAAACAAACAGAAAACCACATAACAAAATACCGGTACAATATCAATATCACCAATAATGTAAAAAAATTTAATAAAAATTACCTTTGTCTACGTCTGTGTGTGTGTCTTTTGATATGTCTGCGCACGATATTTTTCAAACGACGTTTCTTAAACCGATGCGTTTATATGAAAAAATCTTGCAGACAGTCATTTTTATTTATACATGATTTTAAAAGGGAAATCCGCCACACCCGTTATTTTGGAAAACTGCACGTTATTATCCATATATGGGCATGCTTAAATTTCGGTCTCTTGTAAATAAAGAGTAATAATGTGCGAACATTTTTTTTAATAAAAATTGATGGTTGAAGAAGTGTTTTTAAAACACTTTTACATTTTTAAATTTAGTCCTACGCCATAATAAAAAACTTGCTACGTTCAGCATCACGACCACCGTCCTAATGAACAAAATCACACCGTCCCTCATATTTTATCATAAGGAAGTCTACTCAATGCATCGGCATATTCACATATTTTATGACCACCTTTAAGAAACTCACACGGTGCATAATTTTTAGTTTCCATAAAATTGTTTACTAAATTCTTATACGGTACCAGGTCGTCTTCTAAAAAACGGTTTCTACCGCCCAATACAAAGTTTCCCTGCTCTTTTATTTCCGATTCAGAAAGCTCATGATGCTTGCAAAGTAACCATATTCGTACGTGGGGTAAAACCATAGGTAATTTCACATCTTGCAAATAACTTGTGTTAAATCCCGCCGCCGAAAGCTGATAATTTATTTTCCCACGTGGCACACGATCGGAAAACTGGACTATACGAACAATCTTGTTCAACAATTCTACGTTGTACTGTAAATATTTTAAATAAGTCATCCCCATTTCCAGCAATACATTATTGATATGTCCCCAATTCACAACATTATACAATGGTGATGCAGACTCGAAATAATATGTACGAGACATTTTTTTTAAAAATTTATTTTTTCCTTTTACTTTTATTCATTTTACAACCTACATACCAATACCATATATAGTCATTAATTAAATTTCTCAAAAAATGGGTCAACAATTTCTTTACAAATACTATCACAAATATGTTTAATTTTTAACGGCGCTCTATAAGCATCTTTACGCATAACTGCAAAATCACCGTCCATAATATATGTGTAACAGGGTACTTGACCATCTTTAAGTGTGTCACCGTCAGTAGAATTCATAACCCCGGCTAAAGTATCATGCTTAACTAGCGTTGTACAAATCATTTCCACTAACTTATCTACATACACATTACAACAACTGCACACTAATAAATGTTTCATAATTAATTTTAAAGTTTTTCCCTTAATGTATTCGTCTCCAAACTTAAATAGGGGTTCATGTACGCCAAGCGCATAGATTACCTCTCGTGCTTTACCATAAGGGTGGGCCTGCCGTTGTGTGGCCTCGTACAACTGCTTAGCATTTATAAATACCCCACATCGGCAAGCACTTCGTGAACTTTTCCAGCACACGGTCCGACGCCAACATGAAAATAATCTTTAGAAACCACATATTCATCTTTAATGCTTACATGTTCGCGTCGTACAACCGTAACATCACCACGATACAAAATCTGTCGGCAACAAAACTTTTTTTTAGCCAAATACATGTACCAAGACTCATCTCTTACACGTATATACACATAGGGGATCCACTCTGCAGGAATAACATAAAATATTTTGTCCGTAGAGCTGTCTTCATCGTCAAAACCATAGCATGAGTTCGAGACTTGGGTATCAACACCCAACAGTGCATAGCTGGGGTGTTTTTCATCGAATAACATCACATCATGAATACCCGTTAAGCAACCCTTTAACCACACGAGCGACCGTTTCTCAACAACCCGCTTTTCCCCATCCTTTTCCTCTACATCGTATATACCCGCAAGACGATAATTCCGAATACAAATTTCTTTTACCCCTAAACTCTGAATTTCAATTTTCTTCTTCCCATACAAGTAACTGCATGTTGCATACAACGACCATAACACAGGATCATAGGGGTAATTTTCAAGTAAAAGACCCAACGCGCTAAGATTTAAGGGCACGTCGTAACAATTCATATTGCGTCCAGAAACTGTTCGAATAATTTCACTTCGTGTCGCGAACAATGATATTCACCCGTTATATGATAGGGGCAACATTCGTGTTTCACATTGTATTCTGTCAATAAACATTCATATTTTGGACACCCCAAAATTTCCATATTAATGCACGAAATACCCAATCTATTCAACAAATTACGTTCAATATTTCCACCCTTGTACCCCACCAAATCAGCATTTTCAAATATTTTACGCAACATGACCACTATTTCACTATATAAATAAAAATTATTATCAATACGCCGTCTTTTAATGGGTAGACCATGTATTACCCTTATTTGGTAGCGGATTGCGCGATCATTTTCGTCAAACAGCTTGACGTTTGGAATGTAAATTTGATACGTTGTAACAATATTTGTAGATCGACACAATACAGAAACTTCGCGTAGAAAATTTTTCTTACACCATGTATACGCCTCACAATCTATAATGTGTGTTATACGCCCCTTCAAAATATCGTGCTGATTTTGAACATTTCTTAACACATTTTCATTTATTTCACAATGCGACAGTTGAAAAAACACATCCATTCTCTTACACGCATACAACACAAATAAAACATTTATTCCCACACTTCTAAATCTTCCAAACTACGACATACACATATTGTTTTATCACTACAATGGCATTTCGTAAACATATTGTCTATTACTCGCTTCAACCATCTAAAACAAAACAATATTTTACTAACTAAATGCGGGGAAATTAATATACCCCTATGAGTTTCAAAATCATCTAATATACGCTCAACATCAATAGCTTTATGCATGTACACGCTATTGTACATTTCGTTTATACATCTGCGAACTATATCCTCATATACGTGGCTATCGATATGCATCTGATGTTCACAAAATTCAAAATGTATATTATACCCTACAGTTCGTTTATAAACCCCCCCTTTAGCATGCGGTGTATATCCATATTTTATAGTAATACGTGCTAATGTGTGTAAATAAACATCCTTATTTAATTGTTTAAAAGTTAAATTAATAGTCATACGATTATTGTCATCTCTCGAACTATGTGTTTCATACAACCATTTATCCACGTTCGAATAAAACCTGTCATAGCACACAATGGGGTTACCATAAAGACTCCACCGCATATACCCCAACAATCTATACAATTTCTTCGCCTTCGGGCAGACGGGCTATAAAAAGCACCGCATCACTGTAAAGTTGTCTTGCGTCAACAAACGTTTCGTCACATTCGTAGGGTATGGGGCAACGGCACTCTTCGTTAAAACCACCACACAAACAATGGCTACTACAAAAATTCTTCACAACGTTCTGCAGCCGTAGAGCGTACTTTAACAACTGTATCAGTCTTATCAACGTGTGCGCCAAAGTTAAACGTAACACTTCCCGTTGTATTTTATTTTCGTGAAAAAAAGAATAAGATAAAACATATTGTACAACTCTGTCTAAGCAATCCAAAACCTGCGGTTTTACACGTCGAGAATCCCACTTTTCCGGATCAAGCGTAGTACACCGATTTAATGTAACTATTGTACGCTGACTACCTGTTCGAAGATATTTTTCCGTAACACCAATAAACTTTTCAGGATAAATACCCAAATATATTTTTGCGGTTATGTAAGAGCGTCGAGACCAGTCGATTACGCCAACCAATATTTCACGCTGACCCGAAAATGTAATGTTATAACTGTAGCAATATACGTAATACGACCCCTGCATCAAAATGCTGTCACCACAAAACAACTGCGATACTCCTGAACACATTCGTCTACGCGTAAACTGCTCTCTTTCCATTAACCCCATATAAAAATTATACATTTTCATACTCATAGCGACATGGTTGTGATTTATTAATTTTTCACCACATAATACATTCTGAAAAGGACGATGTTTTAACAAACCACAATTTTGAACATTTTTCCACTGACAACAATTACAATTTATCTTCATTCTTACGATAGTCAAACCACCTCTGAAACTCAGCTAACATTTTTGAAGAATATAATATTTTTCGTGAACTATCATACCCCCTAATATCCCCATCCATCTCACATAATTCAATACTTAAATATTCTTGTATATATTTTGCTAATAATTCATAATACCCGCTACCCCCTTCGACCCCTTGCGGATATTTAAAATCCACTTGAGCGGCTTCAACTGTTATTTCAAAACCAGTGTTAGAAATATACTCCAAAGTAACCCTGTATGACGCATATTCGCCACGGTCAATCACCCCCAGTATCAAGTCTTCACGCGACACATACCCGACCAAATACACGTAACACCGCATCTTGTAAAGACAATTGTCAACCATTAAAACTGTTGTTCCCGTAAGGGGTCTTGGCCAAAAACTCCCAATCTGATTGGCATAACACAACGCCATTTTATTTACTATTTCATCGTCTTCTCGAAAATAAGCCGGTACATATCTAGAAAATATTTAATTTATATTATTCTAAAAAGTTTACACATTTCCCGTATCACATTTTGCTTTACTAATACCCCTACACGCCCTAAAATATTTTGCTGTAATATATTTACATTTGCAAGCGAATAGTCATTATCATTAAAAAATCCTGTTAAATTATGAATTATGTCATCCATTACATCCCGGTCCTCCTCGCCACCGTCACAGTCAAAGAAACAAGAACAACCCCATTCATATATATTTCTAACACTATATTTTGTTAATATGTCATGTACAAGTACTATTTTTCCAATACTAATATAATCGACCCCGCATATTTTCGGGTTCATGTAAACATAGCCCTTCACGCCGCAGTAAAGAATGTCTCGATCCAAAATATTTACACACCACCCATTATACATTGGTCTTCTCTCTCTTCTTTCCCAGGGTGCACGTTCTAGAGCTTGTCTTCCTTCTTCTCCCAATTTTTCATTTAAATTTATAAACAGCTGGTAAACCTCATCTTCAAAAACTTTACTTTTCCACTACAAAAAATTCAAAAAACTTACTTTACTACACTGTACGCAAACCCATAACGTGCTGACCACTCTTGCGATAAAAACCCTGCACCAACCTCTAAATTATTCACGCTCATATTCATCATTTTTACAATAATACAAATCGTCCCAATTCTTATCAAACATAAACAGCAATTCCAATGCTTTTTTCGGCCCAAACAATACATAACAGAAATATAGAAAAACCATGGCAATCACCGCCCGCTGCCAAACATTGACCATCTGGAAAAATAACATTAACATTCTATTACCAAATTTGGATAATAACGCTGTAAAAGCAAAAAATACACAATAAAAATTCCACAACCATATATAGGTAATAACGCACAACATTGTATTATTACAACACCATATATGGAAAATTACGTTGCACACCCCAAAAAATGAGCAGTATACTAAAGATTTACAGCACACTAAGCGTTATTTACGCCAACACCGTCAAGATGTCAGCAACGCCAGAGTTTATGCAGTTCATAAATTACATGCAATGTACTTTATCCGACAAAAATACAGCCATTCTTACGAATTTATACGTGAATTTCACCCAATATCAACCACCTATTGGATGTATTCATTTTGCTGAAAAATTTATATTTTGGAAGCAACTATACGATCAATTCAGCCAAGAACAAGAAAAAATCGCAAACGCTAACCTTTTCGCTACTAAACCAACAGACCCACGTCTAGAAATCACCAGAACTCAACTACCAGAAGATTTAACGAGCCTATGCGGTGAAAACGACAGTGAACTATTTCAGACTTTTGATCTAAAAAATGAAACTACTACAGCATCACAATCACAACCCGCAAATGATTCGACAACACTGGACATCTACAACACCGACAGCTGCACAGAAATTACCATGAAGCCAGACAGCGCCATAACAACAGAAATTACACCGGAAACTAATGCCATTATCGAAATAATAAACGAATCACATCCCGAACAAACCTCCCCAACATCCGATGAAGAAGAAAAACCACCTACCCCAAACTATGTAAGATCCCCAAGCCGCGGTAAAAACATTGAACAATTAAAGGCCATCCACAATGAAATTGAAACCGCAACAAAACCGAAACCCGTACCCACACCTCGAAAACGAAAGAGAACCCCCGCTAACGCAGGAGGGCCTGGACCCGGAAGACCGACCAAAGATTCGGGGTTGCTACACGACGCAAAAAGTGCCGAAAACGATGATGCGTCCGACGACACGATGGCAATTCGTGAAATAGCGCTATTTTCATCAAACGGACAAGTACGAAAAAAGGCTAAACTGCCAACCAGACACGACAAAGACATCAAATGTTTTGCGATAAAACACTATTCGCCACTTGAGTATATCGCCGAAGAAAAGATAAAAGCTTTTGGAATAATAAAAGAACAAAGACATAAACTAAAAACACTAAATTACATGGAACAAAGTGTGCTTGACAACTTAAAAGAAATACAAAACTTTTAAAATAATGTAAATAATAGGTAAATAATGTAAATTTAATAAATATTTTTTAGTAAATAAATGGAAAAAAATATTTTTAACCGTTCCGTCAATTATTAACCATTATTCGCAACCCGCACACCATCCGCACACGCACCCTAAAAACGGGCACCGGAAGTACGTCACCGGAAGTACGTCACGTGACACCGACCATAAAATCACCGCCAAATTCAAATGTCCTCACTTCGGTCGACCACGATTTTGGGGACACATCTCCTCCTTTAATGTTGCGCAACCGCATTATTGCGACACAACCGTCCTTCTTGGGACGTCATGGGGAGCCGAAAACTCCCCCCGTCCGGGGAGACACTTTTTCACTTTTTTTTGCTGACCACACACTTTTTCGTAATACTATTTTATATTAAAAAAAAAAATTCCCACACCCCCACTTTTTTTTTGAATACTTTTTTCACAACACTACTAATCTGGCAAGCAAGCACATTTACTTGCCAGTCATGATATTTACTTGCCCCGGGCAAGTATTAAGTTACACCTCTGCCTTGGAATACTTTCATTCCCAATGGCCCTTGCATTTAATTTTTAATACTCTTGCAAGTTTGCAAGGCCTGAACAAGGGTTGAAACTAAACCTTAATATTACTCGGGCCCATGCAACTATCAAGAGCAGGAAATTGTATTTATTGCATGTCTTGCCAAGCTTAGGGGTGTGAATGTCACACAAGGCGAGCAGTAGAGCACGCCTTTTCTGGGAAGGTTTGCATTGTGCACTCTTGTGAGCAGGTTTAGGTCAAAATTTTCCAATTATTTACCTGGGACCGTACGTTCCTACTTTATAATTTTACTCTGACAAACACCAGACAAAACACCAGAGTTTTGACTTTTGAGTTTTACTTTTGACTTTTGGGTTGGTAAACAACCTGCACATATCCATGCACTTGACTAAACCGTAATATTTTCTAAATGGCCTTAGTTTATTTATCTTCCTTTTCGTTGACGCATGCATACACTATAGTACCGGCATTGTAATGTTGATCTACAGTACAATTAAATGTACCATAAATTATACAAGTTTATTAAATTTACAACTATTTTCGAATATTTTCAAGTATTGTAAGTTTACTTATTAGTTCTTGAAAAAGACCTTACATTTACAAAGACAATTACAACGCAATTCTTATTCTTTATAGGCGAATGATTAGCTGTAACAGAAATTGGTTAGTATATACTGTTGAGTATTTTTACTCCTAGACCTAGTACCACAGTACGTACTGTATTTACTTGTTTGAGCACTGCGCCGCTCTTTAAATTTTCAGAGCTTCAGATGCGGCACTCATTCGGGGACGGCGCTCAATCGGGGGCATAGATGGATTTTCTGGGGGGGGTGCAAGGGGGTGCTACCCCAATATTAGCTATAACCCTGCCAAACAAAATGTCCACCCCTCCAAAAAAAATTTCACCCCCCCCCAATATTTGGCATAATAAATAAATAATTGATATGCCAATCCAACATGCAGAGTGTTGATGATACAAAATAAACGTAGGAGTACACACAAACAAAAAAAGACAGTGCAACACTCTGAAACTAATCGCTCCTCGCTTGCATTCACTGGTTTATTGGAGCAATTGTAAAGTTTTGAAACTCTTTTGTTTTCCCTGAATAGTGTTTGCAGTGTCTTGTCATGCGAATAGCTTGCACGCAAGGAACGTTTGGAATTTTTACCAATTTTACGAACACTATTTTTCGTTTTTAAATTAATTCTTTTAGGAAATAGACTTGCCTAGATTTAATCTTTACGCCCCAAATATTATTTACATCTGAGTTGCATCTGAGTTGTTACAAAATGTCTCCATTTTGACGGAGGAAATTTTTACACTGTTTAGTGCGGTGCTCATTTGGGAACGGCGCTCTTTAAGGAAATTGATCTCAAATGTGGCACTCATTCGGGGGCGGTGCTCAGTCGAGTAAATATGGTATGTAATTATATTTAAGAAATATACAACTTTTTTCGTGTTGATATACAATTATATCAACACGAGTGGAAATTGGAAAACAAGAAATTGTGTGGAAACACAACGCCCAAAGGGCAAGTGTTTTCACACAATTTTGAATTTTCCAATTTCTACGAGTGTTGATATAACTGTAATTTGTATATCAATACGGAAAAAATGTTTTTAATTTTTTTTTATAATATAGCGCAAAGAAATATAAAGTACAACATTGAAATAATTTTTACAGAGTGGCGGGAAATTTTCTGTGTTGACATTGAGTTATATCAACACAGCTTTTAGCCAGTCGGGTACTGATTCAGTTCAATCAGTGGTTTAACTAACCTATCTGCCATTTGTCTTGCATTGTAAATTAGGCCAGAGTGCACAGTACCCTTCCTAACTTTTTTACTCTAGCTAATGGTCGACAATTTTACTTTAAAATGGGACCTGAAAATCTTTCGTGTTGATGCATGGGTTAAATTAACTTGCTCATGGTTGCCAAGTCTCACATAGAAAATGAAATCTCACGGATTTCACTTATTTTTCCCCAAAAGTAAAAAAAAAGACCAGGAAAACTACATTCTTATAATATAATAATAATTCAGTGTAGTATATGGTTTGTTTATCCTGATTTATACTGTGGTTATGTCATTGTTTTTCGGTTATATTCTCTTCGAAATATGTATTTTAGACAAATCAGGGTGTCAACCATGATGGCCGCTCGGATAGTCGCTAAATACATAAGTATCATCTCACAGATAAAAATGTTCAAAACTTTGCTAATCATTCAAAACAACCTCAAATTATCAACTAGATACTTTGACCAATTGGGTCAAATACTAATTATATTTTTAAAGACGACGTTGTAACTGGTAAGTAAACATAATAATGACTTACTTTCGATAATGCGGTGGGGAATTTTCTCCATGCCAGTCAATGCTTTTACATTTCGTACCAACATACTGTTTACATCGTTGTTTGCAGCAGATCTAAAACTATATATGCAGTTAATGTTAGGCTGTATCTAAAGCTACAGTATATACACTGTATGCAATTGATGTTAGGCTGTGTGTTGATTCTACTTTTTAAAAATATTTTTTAAAAATACCTGGTATACACTGTACAAGTGTACAGTAATTTCTCGTAAGCTGTACGCAAGCACTGCCAGACAGTATATGATAAAACTGGGAATAAATTTTGCAAAATCTTTGTGAACCTATGTCGAAGCTACATTTTCACACAAATGCGTACAGTGGCTTGACGAACATTTAAATTCTGATCAAGCAGACCAAATGAGTGAACTCTGTTTACATGAAAAACACTGACCTTTGTGAGAAATCCCATTGTTGATCCATGCCTTTCACTGCAGCCCTAACAGTTTGCTATAAAATAAGTAATAAAATGTTTTTGCCACGGCACAATTTACAATCATTGCTTGATCTATTTTGCAAAATGTGAAATAAATGAACTCAGTGTGTATAAAACTACATCAATTTTCAGTCTTTTATATCAATTGATCACATATACTTGCAGGAATATGATTGTGACCGACATTAAATTTCAAGTAAAAGACAAAGTTAGTCAAGGATGGAAGCATCAAGTGTACTGTAAGTCTATTTTATGATTTAATTTGTATAAATGCTAAATGTTTTACTTTATACAGTATTTCATTGTTTGAGCAGTTTGGCTTAACTCAACTTGTGGTTTTTGAGCTGAAGTCATAACATTAAAAATAAGGGACCCGGGTTTTCTGGTTTCCCCAGACATGAGTATGACGACTGCTGTGGCATGCAGACATGATTGTTTTGTTCTGTACTAGTTCATCTTGTTGTCAACACATCGATATTCATGCTGTATTGAAAAATGAATATTTGCAGTCCTTTCCTGAGCATCTTCACAAGTAAACTAAATAACTAATACTTTTTCTTAATTATACGTCGACAAGAATTAGTAGAAGATTGTCCTAGCTCTACATATCCATGGCTGTTGCGGCCAGAAATGTTTCAGTGCAAGGCAAAAACGTTTCTGTTAAAATGCAGACTTTGTGAACTGCAAAAGCTGTTAAACATTTTTAAAAATAGGCCAGACTATAGTTTTCTACAGTATATTTACTTGGACGTATTAATAATAGGTACTTACGTTCACAATCAAAGGGATTTTATCTTGTGCGATGCGTCGCCTTTCATGTTCTTCTTCCCTGGCCTGTTGTCCTTGCTGCAGGATTTTTTGGTTTTGTTCAATAAGAGTTCTCTGTGTGTGCAATATTCTTGCCAACAGATCGTCGGTACTTGTGTTTTGTGCACGTTGGGCCATTTTTAGTTGACAAAAACAAAACGAATTCACCTTCAAAAGCTTAAGATTTGGAAAAAAGCCCAACTTAAACAGCAGCTTAAAAAAAATGCCTTCGAGCTTCCCTCCAGAACGTTTTTTCGCGCCAAAATCCTTGTCTCGTGAATTGTGAGCCAATCACTGTTCATCCTGAAACATGGGAATGAGGCTCCCAGGCCAAAATGAGATACGTCACGTATTATCGAAAGGGTCTATTGGATGAAACAGATCACATGATGAGGTTTAGCATCCATGAAAATTACCGTGTTATCCCCATCTTACCCATTATAACACCTTATGACGCCTTTGAACACTTGTTTCCATAGCAACGCAAAAATCAAAACTATGGCGGCGCACGATTACCTGACTCATTGCCCTCACTGCGATAGCTATTTACCGTCCAGAACGTTCAGGAGACATAGGGAAGTGTACTTTGACACACAGAGCAATACATAGCAAAAAGACCAATGCCTTGATGAGAGCAGTGAAGATGATAATTACTCCAATATGGAGATTAATAACGATGTTCATGCCCCACGATCACCTTCTTGTGAAAGTGAATCCGAAAGTGAACAAGATGATTTAAGGCAAGCTGTACTAAATCATGAAATCTGGGATGAAACCTTACTAGATGAAGTTGATGAGGATATGTGCGAAAACCACCGTGTTCCATCTGTTGACGTAAATCCAGGACAACGTCCTTCTTACCGTATGTTATTTAATTGTTTGATGATTTTACTGGCGTACTTTTGGACTTATTTTCCTGTACCGAACAACGCTATGGATTTTTTATTGTTATCTTTGAAACGGTTTTTTGAAGCATTAGCATTTTCGAACAATTGGTTTGCGGCTTTTGCCTTAGCTTTTCCTGGGTCCCTCTATTTCGGAAAGAAATCGGTCTTACTGAAGATAAGTTTATCAAATTTGTTGTTTGCCCCTCGTGTAATGCTACGTACAAGTTTGAAGACTGTCATCGAACTGTCGGGAATCGCAAGGTTTCAAAGACGTGCTCGTTTATTCGGTTTCCGAATCATCGACAGTCGCGTATGCGTAAACCCTGTGGTACTATTCTCTTGAGAGAGGTTAAGTTAAAGGATGGTGCCACTCGCTTATATCCACACAAAATGTTTTGTTATCAAAGCATCGTTGCAACACTAAAGCAGTTTGTTATGCGGTCGGGTTTTACAGAACGGTGCGAATTATGGCGAAGCCGGGAAATCCGGACAGGTCATCAGATTATGTGTGACGTTTTTGAAGGTCGCATTTGGAAGGATTTCATGACATTCGATGACTCTTCTTTTTTGGCATCCCCATGGAATTATGCATTTATGTTGAATGTCGACTGGATGCAACCATTTGATCACACGGAGTATTCTATTGGGGTGATGTATCTAGTGTTGATGAATCTCCCGAGAAATGAACGCTTTAAGCGGGAAAACATTTTTCTTGTTGGAATTATTCCTGGTCCAAACGAACCTTGTCATGATATTAATTCCTTTTTAAGGCCTCTCGTTGATGAGTTGTGTTTACTGTGGAAAGATGGCGTCCAGCTTAGACATTCTGGTTCACCACTGTTTCCTGAACTGTTCAGAGCAGCCTTGTTGTGCGTAGGTTGCGATATGCCAGCCAGTAGAAAGGTTTGTGGTTTCACTGCTCATAACTCGAAACATGGATGTAATTGATGTACGAAAGAATTTGGAACTCGCGGTGTCGGTCAGCCAGTAAATTACTCAGGATTTGAAATATGTCGTTCCAGGAATCCTTTGGATCATCGTAAGCATATCGATGATATATTAGCGCAACCCACACAAGAATTACGCAATGCAAAAGAATCTGAATACGGTGCAAGATACATGGAGCTGCTGAGATTGCCATACTTCGACTGTATAAGATTCACAATTGTCGACCACATGCATAACCTTTTCTTGGGAACCGCTAAACGCATGATGGAGATTTGGATTGATCTCTCCCTTTTGACTCGGGCAGATTTAGAACGTATCCAGTCTAAGGTTGACACAACAAATGTCCCGTCAAATTTTGGCCGTATGCCTTACAAAATTGCAACGTCGTTCTCTGGATTTACGGCAGAACAGTGGAAGACCTGGGTAACGGTATTTTCTCCTTTTGCTTTGTTTGGTCACCTCCCCAGTCGTCATTACAAATGTTGGTTAAACTTTGTTAAAGCATGCAAACTGTTGTCCAAACCAATGATTCAAATATCAGAAGTAGGCACTGCGCACTCTCTTTTGATTAAGTTTTTTTTGTCGTGATGTGGAGGAACTGTATGGCAAGGAAAGAATAACACCAAACATGCACATGCATTCTCATTTGGCTGACTGTATTCTTGATTACGGTCCAGTGTACAGTTTTTGGCTGTTCAGTTTTGAACGATACAATGGGATATTAGGAAACTATCACACAAACAACAGATCGGTTGAATTGCAAATTATGCGAAAGTTTGTGCGAGACCAGAGTTTAAGAGACTTTCAATTTCCGGATGAATTCCAACCACATTTCAAGGATATAACCGACCATTTGAGCCACACTGATCGTAAGCCAGACACGCTCTTAATGGATAACAAACTGTGCCTTGACATTCTTAAACTTAGTGAATGCAGAGTTGACATTACAAATGAATTGTGGTTTTCTTTGAATGGTTATGATTTTGGGTCCCCTCATGTAATTGATTCTTTTGATAACGACGAGCTTCATTACATCCACGAAGTGTACAAGATCTTTCTTCCAGATATACCATTATCAAGTATACCTCTCATGTACGACAAGTACGCTTCAGTGGCGTTTGCGGGAGAACGATACGGTTCTTGTTTTTCGCGTCTCAATCGCGTTGCATACGTTGTGGCAAAGTGGGCTGGACGATATGATGGTAGTGTCGATTTGGAAGCCCTTAATCACAGGCCAGGCATGATCGAATATTTCATTCGACAGTGCATTAGCTATCGCGGAAACCTCTATCCGTTCTGCTTCGCGTATGTGCGCTGGTTTCAGTATCACCCTGAGCAATTTCATTGTGGTAATGACGGTGTCACGCCAGAGATTTGGTGCGCAAACTTGTTCGAGAGCCTTGGTGCGTCTTCGTTCATACCCGTCCAACGTTTAGCCAAAAAATTTGTTGCAGGTTATGAAAAGGTTAAAGACGAGAAAGTTTTGTTTGTCATGCCCCTTGAAGAAAGGGTTCTTATATAGATAACGTTGCTCTTTAGCCGCTTATTTGAATGATGGTAACACGTAATTACGATCATACTTGTGTCTTCGCAAATGGCTGACAATGGCCATAACTGGCATTAACTGCATGTGGTTAAGAATAAACATTTATTATTTTTATTTATAGCTGAACATTCTATTTCAACCGTATCGTAACCAGCCGTATTGGTATACATTGCTTAAAATTGTTTTATCTTTATTTTGTGCGTAGCCAAGAGATACCGATATGGTGATACCTTAAATTAGACTAAGGGCCTGTTCATATGGGCAGAAGTTATCCCGGTTAGCGAGAAAACTTTTCGACAAGTTTACGAGCGAGATCTCGCCTTGTTACGAAAATAATATGAAAAGTTACATTGCGTTCATATGAGACGAAAAGTTTCCATGTGTACCGAGATCTCGCTTGTTGACAGGCGAGATCTCGGTGACCCACGGGGTAATGTTTTCCCCATATGATCACAACTTTCCCGCTTAGCGGGATAACTTTTTGTCGTGTCAGCAACTTTTCAATTCAATTGATGTTGAGTGCTACGTCACAGCCGGAAACTTTTCCCGGTAAGTGGGATAATATTTCTCCATATGAACAGAACAAAAGTATTTGGCTAGTCGAAAAGTTCTCTCGTTAACCGGGATAACTTTTGCCATATGAACAGGCCCTAAGTGGAAATTTACGATACGCTTTAACTGAAAACGGCCTTTTACTGTATATATCATTAATCAGGCTGTGTGCACATGCACCTTAACACTTCTCAGCGTTTTCCATTTGTAGAGAATCGATGTCGGTTAACACACAACGATTTAACGTGTACAATTCGCATATTAAGTAATCGAATAAGCACGCGTAAAATGACTGCATTTCAAATTTCGCCACGAACTAAATAAAGCAGAATGGTGGCGTCGACGCCACAACAATTGACATACGCCAAAATACAAATCGTACAGGATAAATCTTTGTTTGTAAACCAATCCTCAAGTGACCTAAGGATATACGAGCTCAAAATATATGCGGCCTTGTTTTAGCCCAAGTTGTTCCTTTTCATTATGTTCACTTTAGCCTGCGCCAACGCGGACAAAACAATAGTAGTACACAGAAAACGGTTGAATGCACTAAGGCACCTAGGGTTGAACTGTACAAAAAGTACTAGTTAAAATTAACTATATTTAGTGCGACAGTTAGCCAATTAGAATCGCAAATATCTTACAGTTACTACTTTTTAACTACAAAAAGGTAGTTAAAAAGTAGTTAAGAGTTTTATACAACCGGTCCCTGCTCTTTAGGGAGTTCAATGCAACTGTATTTTATCTTTAGCGAAAGTCATACGTCTTCACGTTTCCGCACGTCGTATACCGTAAGGTCTCTTTGAGTTCACGAAATGCTGGTGTGCATTTATGCCTGCATCAAATAATTTATGAGTACTTAAGATATGAAAATGTCCACACAATCGTTAGCATCAACGCTTATTTTTTCATGTCGTTATTGCATGTGTGAATAAAGCCTAACAATTTTGTAACCATGAGTTGAAGTATTTCGTTCAGTTTAAATAGCACCGCATGATAAGGACATTGCTTTCTTGTGCGATCCATTTTCGGCAGTATGTTGTTCCTTTTATTTTTATTTAAGAGATCCAGAATGCCATTCTATTGATTTCTGACATGTAGCAAATCCATTTACGTTTGCCTCTGCATGTTCGTTATTTTCCCCTTTAGATTTGCGTTGCGCTCATCTTTGCAAATTCAACATTTTATTTCCCTTTAGATAATAAGATACTTTAAATATGAAGCCTACTGCCTGTGAAGAATCCTTTTAATTAATTGGCAATTGGTGAACACTCTTTTTTTGCAATTATACAGAGCGAAGAGGGTGATTGAATCGATGGTTGTTCTGCCTTGACCAGAAAAAGATCAACTGGTACAAATCTTATCCCAGGTGCCTAAAATCACCCAAGGAGACATATTTTGCTGAGCATGTTAGCGTTGACAAGTTTGTGGGGAAAATGATCAAGAGCCAGGCGCCAGTAATAAAATCAACTGTAGTTCAGTACGGCACAGTCCCGCATAATAGATCCACTAATGTGAGTGGTTCTTTTATTTTACTGTAATTATCAATAACCAGGCTGCTTAAAGTGCCTATGTCCTTACTATCCTTCCCAACACAGCCAAGCCAACTTTTGATGATTCAATCTTATGATTCAATGATTCAATCTTATGATTCAATGATTCAATCTTATGATTCAATGATTCAATTGAGGATTCAATTATTCAATCTTATGATTTAATGATTCAATCTTATCACTTATGATTCAACGATTCAATCTTATGATTCAATGATTGAATCTTATGATTCAATGATTTATTTTAGGATTCACTGATTCATTCTTAGGATTCAATGATTCCAATTTAGGATTCAATGATTCGATCTCATGATTCAATAATTCAATATTATGATTCAATAATTCAAAAGATAAGGAAGATAAGAAGATAAATATAAGGATAAGAAGAAGATAAGGAAGATAAAGATATAAGGATAGGAAAAAGATAAGGAAGATAAAGATGATAAGAAGATAAAGATAAAGACAAGGAAGATAAAGACAAGGACGATAAAGATATAGGAAGATAAGAAGATAAAGATAAGCATGCTAAAGATAAGGACGATAAAGATAAGGACGAATCTATCCAGTGTTCCTCCTCGGAACCAGCTCCATTTGGCTCGGAGCCAGCTCCATAGAAGCCAAAATTTCTGCTGCAATTTTTGCCCGCAAAGTCATGGGCCCGATTTAAGGTTTACGCTCGTGTAATAAATAATCCCTATCTATCCATAATAAACACTTGTAATCAATTAACAACTGTTAATGACTTTCGCGGTATACGTTTTAGATATTCACAAAAGACAAAATTTTGATATCTCGCAAACCCACAACGTATACTAAATTCTTGTGCAAGTTTATACCTGTAAAACCACGCGTACTACGCCCGCGTAATAAATAATCCTTATCTATCCATAATAAACACTTAAGAAATTAAACTTTGGCTTGTTAAAATTCATTCAGGTTATTAGAAGGAATATTAGAATATATGTGGGTATAAATATTAGCAAAGTTTTGAACTGTAAAAATTTTCTTAAAATGCTAGTAATCATTGGTTTACACTCGTTTAAATATGTTATAAGCGCATGTAATTGGTATGAAATGATACTGTGATGACGTCATGGGTGGTGCTTGATGCACCACCCGTTCCAGAAGCCCCCTTCCCTATACTACTAACAAACTAGAAAGCCTGCTGGTAACATGGCTGGCTGTCGTTTATCTTGGATTTGATGATATTGTTTGTACAAAAAACAAGATATTGGCATATTACAACATATTTTAAATTCTGCTCTCTAATACTGGTTATTATTGGTGGCCAGATTTAATTAATTCATACACAAGACATAAACCTATAGGCTGCATCTACTTGAAGAATGTAAAATGAACGGTGATGTGATATAATTCTGTACTTTTATTTTGAAAACCTTATTGGCAAATCTTGAGAATAATGGCTTGGGAGTTGGCTGGAACGTTGGAAATAAAACTGTTAGATAGCTACTTGCCAACTGAATTTCATTTTAATTAATGACAATATTGTCATTCTAGTATTGAAATGAACAGTATTATAAAAAAAAGTAGTGCTGAACTAATTTCGGTTTATTATGAAATATTGTTTATCATTCAGTTCTGACCATTCATGAGCAGTGACATAGGATTTCTAATCAAGGGGGACAAAAAATTTCCATTTGAAGAAATGAAAATATAATGCACAAGAGTGCTGCTACCAAATGTTTCTGGCGTTTGCACTATGATATCATAGGGTCTCGCAGATTCCACTAAATCATTCGGCAACCTTACATTTTGACAAGGATTCTTGCCCTCGACTTAACCACGTATTTAGTTCTTGTTATTAATCTGAAACAAAAATTCCTGTCACTTGGAGAACGTGTATATGAAGAAAGTCTTGTTGAAACTTTTTGCCTTTTGCTGGGCAAAAAATAAAAATAATATTTGCTGGGAAATAATTAGCCTGGTTAGTAGGCTAAATATTTTGATTAATCATTTGATATATGTGCTATCAAACCTAATCTTGATCAAATAGTTTCTTTATGGCAAATAACAGATTACAATGTTTGTACATTAGCAGCAGTAATCGCTAAATTATTTACACTGAATATCTGGTATAAAACTTAAATAATTTGTCGACTCGTACATTTTGCATGTTCACTGCATCTCAAATTCAGCCAACATCCTCGAAAAGTTCAAATTGGGGATAATTTGCAAATTTAAATATTTGTCTACATTCTACCCTATTCCAATACAAAATGCAATTATATAAAACACACCACTTTATCAAATAAAGGCAAATAAAGATTAAAAACTTTATTATGTAATATTGACATTGAATTTCGTGGTTGAAGTTGTAGTTTTATACTTGGAATTTGTGAACAGCAGAACAAGAAAATTTTCGCTTTATTTATGTTAATGTTTTTACTCTGTTCGCCATTCTTGCTTGTTTACAAATAAAAATAATCCATTTCTTCTTTTGCTCTTTTCAAACCAGCCCAGAATTTGGTTTAAAAGGTTAACTCGTATTTAACTTTCGTAGTCTTCGTTTACACTCCTTGTGATAGCAGGCGTGTTGCCAAAGTATCACCCGGTTAATGAATAACTTTCGATGCCTTCGTTGTATTCGCATTGACCAATCAAATCACGTTGTGAGCTGGATTCTCCCAGGGCTTCCGAGAGCAATAAGCGCAGAAGCCCTGGGTACGAGGTTGGGCCGAATAAAGATGCCATGATATCAGAAGTGTTGTTCATTCCTATGGCTATGCCAAGCAGCAATACATTTACATAATATTTTTTTTTAAATTGTATCTACAGTCGTAAATGTGGAGTGTGGGATAAAATATGTGATATGAGCGTGGGATGATCTAACTCAGTTACCATGGCAACAAA